TGCCGCCGCTCTCCCAAGCGGCGCACTGTAGCAGTGCGCCACCGGGCCGGCCCAAGAATTCATTCTTTTACCATATTAGGTAATACTCACTCATTTCAGAAAATGCGATATGAACGTGTCTTTTGGAGAGTCACTATCCAGCCACTAGGCACCCCAAGTTCACATGAACCCAGCTGCCTGACCCCTGGCTTACTCAGACACATGGGGCACGTTTCTAAGGCCCTTCTTCCTTCTTCATGTACTGTTCCCCCCGCCCTATCTAAAGAATCACAATCTGATCATTCTCCATCCTGTTACCTGGCTTTATCACCACCTGAATTGTATATATTTGCTTGCGTATTGTTTCGTTTCTGAACCATACTACAAGGGCTTCTGCTACTAAAGAAGGAGGGGTAAAGAGATACAGAAGAGGTAACAGACAAATCCACAGATCTGGGGACCTAAGCCCAAGTCATCTAATTCTGGGCACCCATGGATCCTAGGAATTAATTTAAGGATTATACCAGTTGCTTCAATTTGAGGTGATATCAACAGGGGCAGGACCAGGGGAGAGAGCACTGGAATGGGTGTCAGGAGGCTGAGGTGCCAGGTCTGGCTCTACCACTAATTGCTTTGAGACTTTGCGTTACATCCCAGAAAAGGGGAGAATCCTGTGAAAATAGAATTGGAAAAGATTTCCAGCAACAGCATCTCCGTCTTCACCACCTTCGTCATCATCTGCACCACCGCCGCTGCTGTCGTTACAGTTCCAGCTCATCCTGAGCACCTCTTGTAAATAGAATTGGAAAAGATTTCCAGCAACAGCATCTCCGTCTTCACCACCTTCGTCATCATCTTCACCACCGCCGCTGCTGTCGTCACAGTTCCAGCTCATCCTGAGCACCTCTTGTGTACCGGGCACTGTGCTGACCTGTTATGTACACATCTCATTTAGTCCTCACTATAATGGTGTCAGCAGGTGCTAGTTTCCACTACCACCCCCATTTTTAAAGTGAGGAAACTGAGGCTCACAAAGTGTAAGTGACCTGTCACAGGCATTATGGCTGAAAAGTGCCAGAGCTGAAATGCAAACCAGATCCCCATGTCTCCAAAGGCTCTGGGCTGGCTTCCCTCTGTGAAGTTCCATCCTCAGGCCACCCACCCCCTCCTCATGACCAACAGAACTCGCAGCCCTGGCCTCACCCAGGTGCTGGCAGGGCCGTGTGTGGCTGCGTGAATTGCTGCACAGCCGGTTGACCCCTCCCCCCACCCACTCCTTTGCTCCCTCCTCCACCAGGCTTGAGACAGGAGTCGTGCATTCCCTGCTTGGGGATGAGAGGGCTTCCTCTTCAAAGTCTCTCTGGGTCGGGCCTGCCTATTGATGAGGCTAAATTATCAAAGGGCCACATCAAAGCCTGCCAGGATGGCTTTTAGAAAGGCAATTTACAAAACAAAAAAAGTTCTCCTGGACTGTGGGGAGTGGTAGAGGCCCAGTGGTGAAGCCTGCCTTGAAAGCATTGGCTAAAAAGTTGGTTTTGATGCTAAAAGTGAGAGGTCACAGAGCTGTCCCCACCCCAACATAATCAGCATGTTCCGATGGGAAGACTTGAGCTCTAGGCTGCTCCTGTTCGTGCAGGAATCGAGGCACAGGGGTGGGGACACCCCAGTTCAGGTGAACCAACTGAGGCGCTAAATGTGTCCCTCCTTAAAACCCAAGAAGGGTGGCCCAGCTTCAAGTGCCCTTGGGGCAAGGCACTGAGGCTAGAGCTCTTGGTGGCTTCTTTCTGTCCTACAAAAACTCAATTACCCTTAAATACTAATATCCCCATTTTGCAGATTTGGGAACTAAGGCATAGAAGTTTCATTTCCTCCCATGTCCCCTCGGGTGGTATCTGGCAGAGCTGGGATCTGCACCCAGGCAGACTGGTTCTGGGCCCTGGGTCCTGTCTTTGTCACTGGGAGTCATAGTCCCCAGGCCAGCTGTAGCCCTCAGACTAGCTTTATTTGGCCTGCGTTTGGGTTCTCAGAGTTTTAAAATTAGCAGCCAACTGCTAAACAATTCCCAAGGGCAGGTTTCCCTGGGATTCTTTCTGCACGGGGGGCGGGGGTGATGTTGGAGCATCACTTTAAGAGTCCATCCCAGGACAGATATTTCCCACTGGTCTTGGGGGTGCAGCGCTGGTGTGCACCAGGCAGAGGGTCGGGGTTGGCTCTGCTGGCAGGCAAGGCCTCCTTTGCACGCAGGACCCTCCTGCCTCACCCACTTGGGAGGCAGGCTGGCAGCCTGGTTCTGGGCACAGGTTTTGGAATCAGGTTGCCTGTGGTTCTGATTCTGGGTGTCTGATTTCCCAGCTGAAGGCAATCTCCTGAACCTCTCCAGGTCTTGGTGTTCTCATCTGCAAACGGAAAGTGTGACAACAGCATCGCTCTGCAGGAAACAACGCCAGTCAGGTGTTTAGAGTAGAGTCTGGCACAGGACAAATGCTCCCTAAATGGTGGCTGCTCTCTGCACACGCTTAGGTAAGATCTTTCTAAGGATTAACTCATTGAACCTTGACAGCAGCCCTGCATGGCCAGCACCATTCTACAGACAAGGAACAAGCTCGGCGGAGGTGGTGGTGGTTGCTGCTGCTGGGGTTGGTGGTGGTGTTAGTGTTGGTGTTATTCTGCTGCTGCTGCTGGTGCTGTAGGGAACCGAAGGCTGGCTGCCCATGGGCATTCTATTTATATGGGATTTGGGGCTCTAGAAGGTACCGCCGCTTGGCTGCGTGTGTGACCCCCACCCCGTCCTTCTCTTCCTCCCACTGCAGGGCTTCTGGAAAAGCCCAGGGCTGCCCAGGAAGTGGGGGGGAGGGGCTTCCCTGCCAGCCGGGGACTTCAGGCCGGACTGGCACACCGTGCCATTCAAGGTGCGCCAGACTGCAGCTGGCCCCACCGCCCCCAGCCCTTTCTTCTCTCTGCTTTTTGTTCAGGCCCTTTTGATTTGGGAACAAGGCCCCTTTATGTGGCGCCGGGCCTCACTGGGCCTCCCTGTCCCACCCATGGCTGGGGATTTCCTTTTCATCTGGCGCTAGGAGCCCCGGGCTCAGAGCGAGACAGCAGCAGGGATTTGGTGGGCGCCGGGCCTCACTGGGCCTCCCTGTCCCACCCATGGCTGGGGATTTCCTTTTCATCTGGTGCTAGGAGCCCCAGGCTCAGAGCGAGACAGCAGCAGGGATTTGGTAGTGTCACAAAACCTGGGTGACTCAGCTTTCAGTGGGGCATTGTGGCCCGCAGCTTTGATATTTTAAGTGGGAGTCGCAACAAAGGCAAGGCCAGGGTGGTGGCAAGGTAATGCGCTCGCGAGGGCACCCAGCGGCGTGGCCTTCGCAGGCTCACCTGCTGCAAAGGGGCCCCTCTCCTTAGAGGACTAGCCTATGACCCCAGACTCTTAAGAACGACATTGAGTAGGGCTGCACCTCAGAGCTGGGGGTTGGCTGCCGGCTCCTCACCCGCCCTTAGTTCCTAGGACTTCCCACGGGGATGCGCCAGTGCCTCCTCTGGCCAGAGGTGTCCAGGCAGGGACACTTGGCGGGCCTCCAGCCCAGGGCCAGGGGCAGGACCCAGGAGGGAGGCCAGCCAGTGTGCACCCAGAGACCTTGCGTTGGAGCAAGGCAGCAGTCACACCTGCCTCTACGTGGCGCAGAAATAAATACAGACAGGCTCCCTTGGCCGTGGGGTCTTAAGTCAACTCTTCAGACTATCTGTGCCTCAGTTTCCTCATCTCTATAATGGAGTTCCTAGGAGCACCCGTCTCAAGTGGGTACGCCGCTTGGCTGCGTGTGTGACCCCCACCCCGTCCTTCTCTTCCTCCCACTGCAGGGCTTCTGGAAAAGCCCAGGGCTGCCCAGGAAGTGGGGGGGAGGGGCTTCCCTGCCAGCCGGGGACTTCAGGCCGGACTGGCACACCGTGCCATTCAAGGTGCGCCAGACTGCAGCTGGCCCCACCGCCCCCAGCCCTTTCTTCTCTCTGCTTTTTGTTCAGGCCCTTTTGATTTGGGAACAAGGCCCCTTTATGTGGCGCCGGGCCTCACTGGGCCTCCCTGTCCCACCCATGGCTGGGGATTTCCTTTTCATCTGGTGCTAGGAGCCCCAGGCTCAGAGCGAGACAGCAGCAGGGATTTGGTAGTGTCACAAAACCTGGGTGACTCAGCTTTCAGTGGGGCATTGTGGCCCGCAGCTTTGATATTTTAAGTGGGAGTCGCAACAAAGGCAAGGCCAGGGTGGTGGCAAGGTAATGCGCTCGCGAGGGCACCCAGCGGCGTGGCCTTCGCAGGCTCACCTGCTGCAAAGGGGCCCCTCTCCTTAGAGGACTAGCCTATGACCCCAGACTCTTAAGAACGACATTGAGTAGGGCTGCACCTCAGAGCTGGGGGTTGGCTGCCGGCTCCTCACCCGCCCTTAGTTCCTAGGACTTCCCACGGGGATGCGCCAGTGCCTCCTCTGGCCAGAGGTGTCCAGGCAGGGACACTTGGCGGGCCTCCAGCCCAGGGCCAGGGGCAGGACCCAGGAGGGAGGCCAGCCAGTGTGCACCCAGAGACCTTGCGTTGGAGCAAGGCAGCAGTCACACCTGCCTCTACGTGGCGCAGAAATAAATACAGACAGGCTCCCTTGGCCGTGGGGTCTTAAGTCAACTCTTCAGACTATCTGTGCCTCAGTTTCCTCATCTCTATAATGGAGTTCCTAGGAGCACCCGTCTCAAGTGGGTACCATAAGGGAGAACAGAGGATGCCCACACAGTGCTTAGAAAAGCAACTACATGGCACAAACAACTCGCTTTATGATGGGTACCCTTTGTTTCTAAGTCACCCCCTTGTCTGCTTGCTGTACATCAGTGCAGGATGGCCCAATGATGAAGGACAGGAGACCTGGGGTTAGATGGTCCTGGTTCAAACCCTGGCTGGGGACCCTGGCTGGGGACCCTGGCCACTAGCTCAGCCTCGCCCTGGCTCAGGCGCCTCCTCTGTGGAGTGGGCAAGGTGACCGGTAATCCCATGGGTTTAAGGATCAGTGAGACATTCTACGATGAGGGTCTGGTGCTGGCCCGGCCCATTCAAGGTTCTCGTCCCCCACGCACTGTTTTCGGAACAGTGGTTTCAGTGTGTGTCTGAAGGGTCACTGCTGACTTTGGTTGGTTGGAGGCAGGACAGCCCAGAAGGTGGGAGAGCTGGCTTGGGTGTCTCACAGCTGGTTGCAGATCCACGCTTCCTTTTAGTGGCTGAGTGGCCTTGGGCAGTCACTTTGTGTCTCTGAGCCTCAGTTTCCTCCTCTATAAGATGGTGGTACTGACGTCTCCAGCTCCTTGTGGGTTGCTGTGAGGCTCCATGTGACTGTGCGGGTTCCCTGAAGTTCTCAGGAGCTGGCAATGCTTGTTGTGTTGTTGACGTGGGGAAGGTGAAGGACTTAGGATTTGAAGGAATCCTGGGTGAACGACTGTCCTTTTGTTAGGTCAACAGAGCCTTTCTGAGGCAGACACCTTATTCCCAGAAAAGGTTATGGATTTAGGACAGATGGAGGACCATGGGGTAGGGACCAGGGAAACTTCAGAGTATGCGTCTTTCTGATGGTAGTGACTGAGACCGTGCATGATCCTGGCTAGGCAGAGCACCTCTGGGGCAGGTGCCTGTGGGGGTCTCCAGCAAGTCCCCCCATTCAGCGTGCTGGATCTAGGAAGTTAGGATCTGTGTGTGTGTGTGTGAGGGTGGTGTTGTGTATGTCCGTGTGTGTCTGAGTGTGTGTGTCTGTGTGTATGGCTTATGTGCACNCAGCGGCTGGATGCTGGAGCAAAGCTGCCGGCACGAGGGAGAAGGCTCTGCTCATGACCCCGCCCAGACACGCTGGTGCCCAGCTGCCCGCGCCCGAAGGACCTGAGC